AGTCTAAACTGACAGCTCCAAGCCAGCCAGGTCTACACAGTAAGACTTTTTTCAAAACAGGTGAATGAATTATTATTTTCTTGTTTTTATGGTACTGAGGAAAGTGAGTAACAGTCTAGGGAAGGACGGATGGGAAGCAAAGTTTGGGCACTACCAATATAATTTAACTGTTGACCTCTGTTCAGGCTGTAAGCCAAGAATCACAATCACATTATGGAAAGTAAATCATAATGACCTATCAGTTCCTTCAACTGTTTTGAAAGCAAACAATTAGAAAACCCCTTTCTTGGTTACTTTTTTGTTGTTGTTTCTGTGACCATTTGTGGCATGGAGGGTGTGGTGTCAAGAGCCTGGAGTGGTGGCCACACTGCAGCTCCAGTCGGGAAGATAATACGAGAGTAAATGCTAGTCTTCTGACTTTGTCTTTCATATTTAGTCTGGAGCTGCAGCCTATAGAATGGTGCTGCCCATCCTCAGCGTAGGTCTTCCCTATTCAGTTAAAACTCTCTAGGAAGACCCACGCAGACAGGCCCAGAGCTGTCTCCTGCGCGTTTCTAAACCCATCAGGTTGACAGTAGATTCCCCATCACAACACCTGATTTCACCTTCAGAAAGACTCCAAGTTGGGAAACTTGGAGGCATTCGCTTCATTCTGATCACGATGACGTTTCTTTCGATTGGTGTCTGTGGAGTAGATTGTATCAGTATATTGTTCTAAATCACGATGACAAAAATACCACAGTTTGCATAGTACAAGAACAGATTTACTTGGCTCATAGTTTCAGAGGCTCAGACCAATCAGTTGTCTGCTCTCCTGTGTTCGGTCCTGTGATAAGGATCAGTATCACTGTGGAAAGCACGTGGTGGGAAAAAGCTCCTCACATTCATGGTGCTCGTAAAGCCTCAAAGGATGGAGGAGACATTGAGGTTCCAATTTCCTCCACCCTCTGTAAATAGTGTCACCCACCTCTGGCAACCAAGCCTCTCGCTCCTGTGCCTTCAAGAACAGAAGATCCAAACTGTAAGAAATATGAAATCCAACTTTGCATCATCAAACGATAGAACTGTAACTGCAAATCCAAGGGTGGGAAAAAAAAAAAGTTTTAACTTGAGTTCTCAGACTGATTCGTTTTAGGAAGGAGTGTGTATGGAAGTTGAGAAACTGGATCCTCAGACTCTTTATGTTCCTGAAACCTGTGCATTTGGTAAAATCTCTCTGGACCTCAGCAATGCACATAGGTGTATATGAAAACTGCTGATCCCTTATCCCATTAAATCCCAGTTAGACCCACCTTTTCCCTCTGCTCCCTCTCTTTCACTACCCAGAATCCAACAAGACCTAATACACAGGGGATACTCACCAATTTCACTTCCTCTGCTCCTTGTGTTCCCTTGACTCCACAGAACCTGTTCATGTATGTATCTCTGACAGCTTCCTAGTTCAAAACCCATTCATACATTTATCCCATAAAGCAAGGCTTCTTTGTGGTATAAGATGCTGGTGGCCATTCCACTTTCCTTGAAATCATCTAATCAATGGCTAATGCTTCGCTCCTTTTGAATCTGATTGCTAAGACCTTTTTTGTTTCACTTCTAAAATGTTCTTTTTGCAAGATGTCTGCTTTTATCCCCATTCTCTCCTACTGGAATGAACTCTGGGATTGTGATGTTTAATTTTCATTGCCACCTTGGCTGTATTTAGAATCGCCGATTACAACTCTGGGTGTATCTGTGGGGGTTTCTAGAAGGTTTGCAGCTTTGTGGAGAGACACCGTGCCGCGGCAGCTCTTACAAAGGAAAGCATGTCACTGGGGCTGGCTTACAGTTCAGAGGGTTAGTACACTGTCATCATGAGAGGGAGCATGGTGGCATGCTGGCAGACACGGTGCTGGAGAAGGCGCTAAGAGTTCTACATCTGGATCTGCAGACAGCTGGGAGAGAGAGTGAGCCACTGAGCCTGGCTTAAACTTGAAACTTTAAAGCCCGCCCCTATAGCGACACACTTCTTCCAACAAAGTTGCGTGTCCAAATCCTTTCAAATAATGGCACTCTGTATGAGCCATTTTCATATAAACCACCACAATCACCATGTTCACCTCAAACTTTCCTACTAACAGGACGTGTTGACAGTCAGCTCCTGACACAGTCTCTATACCACCTCAAAATCCCCAAACCTGGATTCACTGTCTTCCCTGCCAACTTTGTACCCTCCTGAAGTCTCAACTGATTATGAATGTTACCACCAAGGCTTCTAAATTAGAAAGCACCAAAACTTTTTCTCAATTCCTCAAAATTCTATTTTCATAAGGAATCAAGTTTTACTAGCATTTGAATAAACTTTTCTTTTCAGGCGCCTTTGTTTCATCCTTTTAGCAAATATTTATTTTCCCTAATCTATGAAATAATTTAATAACCTCAAATTGTTATAATTTGTGTTGGTGGCTTTATATTAAATATTTGCTTTTATATTATTATTATTATTATTATTATTATTATTATTATTATTATTATTATTGTGGGCACATTGAATAAAAATTCTTTTATTATAAAAACACAGGGTAACAGAGTTGATTTTTCCCACAATTTCAAAACAATTTAAAGGAAAAATTATAAAATCCTAATTCCATACCTAAAAATCATTGATTATTTAAAATACCTGATGAAAATAAGAATATCTTGGCCTGACACTTTTATTTCAAAACTTAACAAAATATTGACGACATTAAAAGCAAGTTTTATGTCATTTTAATGTCCTGTTATTTAAAACAATATTTAGGCATGAATTTTTTCATTTAAAATATACTGTGAGCTGGATATGGTAGTGCACATTTCTAATCTCAGAAGTTGAGAGGCAGAGACAGGTGGATCTCTGTGAGCTTAAGGCTAGTCTGGTGTATTTAGTGAGTTCAAAGCCAGCCAGAGCTGCATAGTGAGACCCTATCTCAAAAACAATTGTAGTAAGAGCTATGCTGAGCAAAACATCAAAGCTCTTACACATGAAGAAGGTGAAAATGTGAAGTAAAGGATTTTCACACATACCCGACGCCAACTTTAGGAATCTTTTCTGTGCTTCAAATACGACAAAGTTTACATTCGGATAAGTCAGGATCAAGACAACACAAAGCTAACACAAATGAAGCCGCTTTAGTAGCCAGGGGGGGGGGGAGTTAAAAATACCTCGCTTATACAATGTGTCTTCTAAGGAGCAAGAATACCAGTCTCCATGGCACTAGGCACTAAGCTGCTCAATTACGACCCATATCCTTTAGAGCACATTTATAAATGGGGCAACAGAAAGAGGAAACGCTATATATTTGATCTCCCCTTAGTTCAAATGTCTTTCATAGCCTCCTGAAGAGGAAAGCCACCAACTGAGAACCCTGAGCACCGAGACAGGAAGTGCACACATGACCGTCTTTCCTGTGCTGTGTGAAGTCGCTTTCTCTTCCAGTTCCCTTGTTGGGAATCAGCACCAAACGTGAATTAATTTAAACAGCTGACGCTAATTAGAATGGCTTTAAAAGGTAGGCAAAGAATGATTACTGCCCTGCACAAGATAATTACTACGCGGTGGAGTTTCCGTTCCGTGCCTCATCAATCAGGAGATGAGTAAAAGCTGCTCAGAGACAAGCAAGGACTTGCCTGGCCAACCCAGTGTGGTGCTCTACTGACACCTAGTGGAACCTCAAAGCTGCCACCCTTCGCCCTACAGAATCACAAAAGCATACTCCCATCGGCACATAAGTACCTGCAAGACAGCATTACTGTCAATTTAACTTGAAGTATTTGAAAGAAATTGAAAACAAAGCCCATTGGATTTCAAACACTACCTCACCAAATTCCATGAAAATGAAAATTAGCCTACTAAAAAACCCCAATGAGTAGATCTTATTTTCACCAAAATTCTAAATTAAAAACTCGTTTGTTAAGACAAAATGACCCCTTCTTTCCCATATACTGCCACCCATGACAATTTATTTAGCTGTGCTCCGTTTTCATGCCTGTGCCCTATAATCATTCCTTAAATTGTCTCCTTTCCTTCCCACAAGTAAGCTGAGGATTTAGCGTTTTCTTTTCAGCCTTGTGTTCTCATGAAAGAATCGCATCATACTTTTGGTATCTCCTCTGCTCTTGAACTGGAGGTTTGCTCTTCTTCTGAGCACCCTCTGTAGTTGTCCTTGATGGCCTGGGGCTGGAGGAACCAAATATGGATCCATAATGTTTCAATGGATCCATCTAAAAATAAGAACAAATGAATTCTCTTTCCCAGTTTTCTCCTGGAGATGTAAAAATAGGACAAGTTAATGCATCGGCTTGTTTGTTTCTTTCTGCAACAAAAACAAGGAGACTAGAGTGTGCACAAGTAGCATCTACTGCTGGAAACAATCCTACAGCATTGGGAGAATTTGAAACTATAGATAAGGGTGTATGAATCAATCATAATAGACTAATTAAAATAGCCAGTTATACCTGTTGAGCTGAAGAAAAATTAATAGATTGATGGATATCTGGTACAAGTGTTGTTACAGCTCTAGAGGGAAAGAGGTCTTGACTTGTCGGGAAGTCAAGCTGTACATGAAGCTGGGGTGCAGTGGAGGATGGGCTCCCCACAGGTTATAGCAATCCTGCTGCTCCCTGAGAGAGCAGTTACAGCTGAGCTGCGCTCCACACCCCCCCACACACTTCTCAGCTCCAACCCAAGATGTTATTTCTTCTGCTTCACTCTGCTAAAGGGGAAACACCTGCAGAAATGTAGCAATCTCCTCCAGCTCCAGCAACAATTATTACTTTTTCTGCTCAACATACCATACAAGGGAATGTCTCAGCAAAGCTTCTGTTCCTTGCCAGCAAAAGAAGATCTCCACCCAAAATTCTTTTAAGAAAGAGATTTATTTGGGAAGAAGGAGTCCAGGAGAGTGGCTGTCTCTACCAGGATAGGAAAGGACAGCCAACAACTGAACAGGCACAGGGGCTTATATAGGACTTCTTAGGGCCAGAGTTTTCCCAGGGAGCAAATTTTCTGCCCAGGGATTGGTTAGTTTTCCTGCTCCGGGACTGGTTGGTTTAGGTGGGGGCAGAGTTGGCTCTGGTTTCAGGGCTAAATTTTTTCTGTTCATTTTTAGCATTTTGGCTTTATCTTGGAGGCTAAGGCATATTTATTTCTTTTACTATCTCTGGTTCTAGAGCCAAAATGTGGAGGTTTTTGTTTTGGTTTGTTTTGGGTTTGGCTCTGGTTTAAGGATCACAGTATATTTCATAGGTTCTGGGATCAGGGATAAAGTGTTTCTTTCACTGGTTCTGGGTTCAGGATTAGGGTACTAGATTTCATGCTCAGTGATTGGTTGGTTTCATGTTTAGTTGGTCAGGGGCATATTTGACTCTGGTTTCAGGACCAAACTGTGTTTCTTTCACTGATTTTTTAGCCTTTTGACTCTATTCTGAGGGCCAAGGTGTATTTCTTTCACTGGCTCTGGTTCCAGAGTCAAGGTGTGTTTCTTTGGCTCTGGTTTCAGGATCAGTGTGCATTTCTTTGGTTCCGGGTTCAAGGCTAAAGTGTTTCTTTCACTGGTTCAGGTTTCATAACCAGGATGTGCGTCTTTCGCTGGCTCTGATTTCAGGACCAGGCTGGTCCTTTTACCCTACATCTGGACCATAAATTCCCTCCTAAGGGTTTAGATGAACCATTAATAAAATAAGTGTCTGTCTGTGAAATGGAAGAAGGTTGGACAGTTTTTCTAATCGCAAATTCAGTTCATATAAGGAAATTACATAGTTAACTAGCTGGATAATGATTCCCTATCTTTCTATAGTAACTGCAAACCAAATTTGAAAATCCATGAAAGTTTTGTAACATTCTTAAAAACTCACTGCTAGTTAGAGGTAATACAATGCAGCCATGATCAAATCCATATAATTGTTGACATCAGGTGTTCCACGATTTGCTAATAAAGTGAGGTGAGAAGCTTGTATTTTATGCTCTTATGGTGTAGATAAATCCATTCCAAAGGATTTTCCTCTTGGGCTACACCTATAGGAGACAATTTATTGGGTGAAACAAGCTGAAAGGCAGTGAAGGATCTACACAAAACAGATACTACCTCTTTTAGTCTGAATCCTAATTAGGTCCCATGTCAGATGAGAAACACAGCCAAAAGCAAAGAGAGCTTGGGCATAGAGTCTATTTAAAGAATGTTGGGACAGTGATTGGGCAAGAGAGAGAAAGAGGGAGAAAGAAACAGAGAGAGAGAGAAAGGAGGGAGGAGAGACAGAGAACTGTCTCTTCAGAAGAACAGTGGGAAGAGAGGGAGAGAGAGAGCCAAGACAAGCTTGCCTCAGCTGGAAGAGAGAGATTGGGAGTGGGCAGAGTTTGTCTCTTAAAGAGATAGGGTACTGTCTGGTTTCATCCTGCAGTGTGACAGGAAAGGCCAGCATAATCCTAACACTGAGAGTTGTAGCTCTTTCTGCCCCCAGAGATAATATTCACGGACTTTCCAAGTTGTCTTTCCTGCTGGAGTTTTAAGTATATTGGTCGGTGAATAATTAAGTAAACATTCTGATTTTGCTGCAATTGTACCGGAAATACCAGTATACCTCAGGAGGCTGGGGCGGAATCGGGAAATGAATTCCTTTGCCCTGCTGTGCTATAGCTCCCGCAGCTGTAAACAGAAAGCAAAACAAAAGCCTCGTTAGACTGGAAAAGGGAAGAATTGAGCAATTAAAATTACTTCCAAATGTAACAGGAAAGTGTGTATAGTTCCACTGTTGAGTGTGTTTAGGCTGGGCATCAACCAAACCCAGAGAAGTCTCTTGAAGTCTCTGTGTACTCTCCACAAGGGTCCTGAGGGGCCAGTATCAAGACTGAATGAGAAGCTTCATAATTCTAGGGATGGACCGACAGCTGATGTGTGTGTGTGTGTGTGTGTGTGTGTGTGTGTGTATGTGTTACGGGAAAGAGGAGGAAGAGGAGGAGGAAATTGAGAGATATGGTTGCATAAATAGAGAAAGGATGAAGGAGATTACATGGTCTGAAGTAAAAATGTGTTTGGGTTTTTTTTTGTCATAAATACCTATGAAACTATAAAACAAAGAATAATCTATACTTTCATGGAAAGTTATGTCTATTCCTAAACCCTATGGTTTAGCTCGAAAACAACCTGCCCCTAACAGGTCATATATTAAAAACCTGATTGATAGTGGATGGGCTCTGGGAGACACACAAAGACACACACCTCTAATCACTGGTAAAGACGTCCCTTATTGAACAGTACCATGGAGGCTTATATACCCAACATAGTCAGGTGGGCCAGCAGGTGACAACCTCATCTCCTGTTCCTCAATCAAGGACAAGGCAACACATGCTCAGGAAGCAGAGCTGGACACAGCTTTCAGAAGCTCAAATCAGAAGGCCAATAAAGGTCACTAGCAGGGGAGAGCAAGTGGAGGCCAAGACTCCAAACGGTCCCAACAGTCACCAAAATGCGTGATTAATTTTTCTAGAAGACAAGGAGGAAAAAAGAATCAGTATCAACCAAAGGTTATCATTCTGATTAGACTTTTCTTCTAATGTCTTGGATCTGAGGCTGTCAGATTCCTTTAGCCTCTCCGTCTCCTTACCCATGTTGGTCTCTGGGTAATTTGTTAGTACTACCTCTCCCAGATGGTGTTGCCATTGGTATTGAAACACCCAGCCTAGTCCTGATAACTCTCCCAAAGGCAAAACTGAGGCTCTGGGCTTCTGGTCTAAGGACAGTGATATGAACATAGCGAACAATGAGGACTACTGAGAACTCAAAAACAATGGCAATGGGTTTTTGATCCTACTGCACGTACTGGCTTTGTGGGAGCCTAGGCAGTTTGGATGCTCACCTTACTAGACCTGGATGGAGGTGGGTGGTCCTTGACTTCCCACAGGGCAGGGAACCCTGATTGCTCTTTGGGCTGACAAGGGAGGGGGAGGGAAATGGGAGGCAGTGGCGGGGAAGAGACAGAAATCTTCAATAAATAAATAAATTTAAAAAAAAATAATGAAGTTCCTTGTTACTGCTTCAGCGACACACACCACGAAGGTATGATGTCCAGTCCTCAGGTTCTTTGGATGTGGTGGAGATTTTTTTCCATAGTGCAGGGGATCAACTCCCTGAGTGCCTCACAGACCAAAGTCTGATCCTGTTGTTCTCCTAGACAGCTTGAAAATTAACTCATCAATTATAAATTCCTTTATACCCAAAACTTTTGGAAGTGATTCTGCTGCCCAACCCAATACTAGTAAGCAAGTGAGAACCGTTCCCTGCTCATGTAAGCGTTGTTCCCTTTACCAATCAGCTCTTCCAACTATTATTTGTCAGTATTTTAAACACATAATTCTTTATTGATTCTTTGAAAATTTCACATCATGTTTGCCAATCCCGCCTACCTCCCAGTCCGTCTATTTCTTCCCCTCACCCTGCAGTATGCCACCCCCAAAATTAATTAAAAACAAACAAAATGAACAACAACAACAAAAAACCCTACATCGCTCATCCATCTTTCCAACACCTCTTCATTCATCCTAGTGGCCTCAGGAGCTGCGGTGTGCCATGAAGGTACCCCCTCTGTCCAACCGACCCCACCCACAAAATGTTCATTGCAGTGAGTCATTGGTGTGGTTCAAGGCCTCTGGTTTCTGGTACTTGATCACCACTGGACCCTCATGGAAGCTCCTCTCGGATATCCTGTTGTTACCCCTGTCACGGAGATCCTGCGGTTATCTTTCTGCAGGACTGGTCTTTTTCCACACTCCAGCAGGTCAGAGATGGGGCAGCTGGTAGGGTGAGCCAACCCCAGGCCCAGAATGCGGGTCTGGGTGGTAGCTGAACAGGTAGGTCTGAGCCATTGAGGTTACTGTCTCAGGTGAAGAGGCAGAGCCTGCTCTCCTAGTCCTGTGGCAGTAGCCTGGACCCAGCCCAGTGTGGCTAATTGGCATGGCCCCCTTCATTTTGTTGTTGTTGTTGTTTTCATTACCTCTAGTTTCTACTTCTGTGAAATAAATTAGGAGAAGGCTAGTGGTCTAAAACAATATTCCCTGCTCATAGACCTCTAGGTCAAGACGTCCAGGCAGACTCAGCCAGGTCCTTGTGTCACATGAAATTGATTCAATTTGCCAACCATGCTATGCTTTCATTTGGAAGTTCTGAGTTAGACTCTGCTTTACACCCCATTTAGTTTGATGGGGCAAATCCAGTTTTCTTGATGTTGTAGGTTTAATGTCTCTCATTTCCTTGATCTCTGCTAATCTTACAGGCCTGAGATGATTCTGACTTTAAAGTGTTTAGAACATTCTAGCAGAATCTCCCTTTCAAACAACCCAGTCACCCGATTAGTGCATCTAACTGTGTCTGCAATACCTTCTTTGCCATCTGTTAGTACATAATCACAAGAGAAAAAATTATATGAGGGCAACAGTCCTTATGGTCACTCTTAGATTTCTATGTATTTCAGTCATCTCTTGCTGCGTTCATAATTTAATATTGAAGTCTATTTTTTTATTATCTTATACTCTTCAATTGGAAAGAAACTGGTATTACTCATCAGGCATCTTTTTATCATTTTATACATTTAATTATTATTTAATGTGTATGGGTATTTTGCTTATATGTACATTTTTACACCACATGCATGCCTGGTGTTCTGGAGACCAGAAGAGGATGTCCTTCCTATCCCCTGTACCTTGAGCTATAAACAGGTAAGAACTGCCACATAGGTAGCAGGACCCAGGTTCTATTCCCATGGATGCTGGGGATGGAACCTGGTCCTCTAGAAGAGACAGTGCTCTTAAGTGCTGAGCCATCTCTCCAGCCCCTCAGTCTGGCATCTTGAATTAAAAGTCCTAATAATACAGTGGGTTTCAAATTCATGTCTCTTATATCTCGATTGTGAAGCATGGGAATAGATTTTCTCTGTAAATGACCCTGTCACCTTTGCTAGCCTCCATTTCCCTTCACTGCAACAAGAAGAAAAGTCTTTGCTAAATGTAATTTAGTGTGAATAACAGTTCAACAATCTTAGCTAAATAGTATCTATTGTCAAAGAAAACTGTGCTGGGTGGAGTTAAATAGGCACATAAGACTTCATGAATGCTGTTGCAATAAGGAAAGAGATCAAACTCAACTTCACTGAGATAAGAAGAGGAATTTTTGAGCATTCGGGTGAGCTAGTGGAAAGGATCGCTGTGAGAATAGGGCAGTTAGTCGCTGTGACTCTGCCATTGTATTCATTACTTGACATCTTTCTAAACTGGGATTGCATTGCCACAGAGGGTGGGGTCTACGAGTCCTCTCTTTCTGTATAACCCTTTGTCAAAGGGGTGGTGCCCATATTCTTCAGGAGAATTTCACTGGGTTCTGATACCATCAAAAGGCTAGAAGAATGCTGACATCTCGGAGAAATGAGAGTTTTCCTTTGGAAATTTTCTGAAGTATTGTTCTACGGCAAGGCGAGTCAGGGATTCGAAGTGAGCAGGGGAAATGGTCTCGGGTTTAGTTGATTTGAATGGAGCGCTAAGACTATCTTAGACAATAAAGAGAAAGGTTTAGAATTTATTTTGACTCCATTCTGATTTCATTCAGTTGTGTGACTAAATTAGCCAGACAAAAGCAACAAAGAGAAAGACTATCCTCGCCCGGAATTCCAGGCTAGAACCCATCATAGCAGGGACTTAAAGTCCCACCACGGCGGCAATCGAGGAAAGGGAAATAAACACTTGCCTGCTCACTCAGCGTGGCTTTTTCCACTCATATCATTCAGGGTCCGGCCCATGAAACATTGCTGCCAATATTGAGAATGGATCTTCCCACATCAGTTAACACAAGTAAGAAAAGAACCCTCACTGGCTTTATCTACAGGCCAACTTTATCCAGAAAATTCCTTACTGGCGCTCTCGTTCTGGTGATTCTCGATTGTGTCGAGCTGAAAGTTAAAACAGACTATCACACGCTCTTCTCTCTGTTTTCCCCCAAGAAGGTAGAAAGGGCATAAAGAAGCTGAAGTGTGCATAAATTTGAGTCTAATAACCAAAGTTGAGGGTCTTAAAATCATAAATGTCTTCTAGATTCTTACTAGTCACTTCTGCAGTGAGTGTTCTCTGCTGGTGTCCACTACATTTACACAGTCACACTGTAACTGAAACAATTATATTTTACTTGAGATACCATGTTGGCACCTTCTACTGGAGCCCTTGGTGCTGTTTCTTCCGTCTTGAGCTTAATGAATTCTGTATCTTCTTTTTTTCTTTTGTACACATTTACTAGAGGAAAACATAAACTCTTATATTCTCCGTATGCCTTTAATCATTCTAAGATGGCCTAGTCAGGATTAGTGTTACTGTAGTGAAATGCCATGACCAAAGCCTGGGGAGGGTTATTTGGTTTACACTTCCACAGCACTCTTAAGCATGGAAGAAAGTCAGGACAGGAACTCAAACAGGGCAGGAACCTGGAGGCAGGAGCTGATGCAGAGGCCATGGAAGGATGCTGCTTACTGGCTTGTTCTCCATGGTTAGTTCAGTTTGCTTTCTTCAGGAATACAGGACCACCAGCCCAGGGCTGGCACCACCCACCATGGCTGGGCCATCCTCCATCAATCACTAATTAAGAAAATGCCCTTCAGCTGAATCTTATGGAGGCATTTTTTCCATGTTTGAGGTTCACTCCTTTCAGAAGACTCTAGCTTGCGTCAAGTTTACACAAAACCAGACAGGGCAGAAGCCAAGCACCGTATTCATTTTTTTTGTTCTTCTCTCAATACCTCAGGATATTCCTGAAGATTTCTTGTACAGTATGCCTTCCTAGCTCTGTTCCTGAAGTATTTTCCCACACACCCCAGTCCCAGGAATGCTCAGTCATCACCAGTCTATCCCAATGTTCATCACTCATAGCCTAATTAAATCCATCCATATTAAGATTGGAAACCGACTCCCCCTCTTCTTCTTCCTTCTCTGCTAAACACTGCAAGTCTGGCTTTTCCACATCTCAGGTTGCAGATACAATATTAACTAACACCTGCCTTCTACTGACAGCTGCATTAATAACTCGCTTATTAAACAAATTTGTTAGTTCATGAAGCTCTATCCATTTTCCTGGGAGGAATATGCCTTGGCATATAACATGGAGAATAATGTAAATTCAAGAATAAATTTTAATTCTCCAAGTTGAAGCATTTGCAAAAACCATTACTCCTGTCATCAAAATTTCAAAAGATGAAGACAGCATATGGGACATGAGGGGACTCTAATCTGTTTTTAAAGTTTTAACTGTCAGCTATAAAAACAAATGTCATCCATCTAGACTACAGTTCTGCTTAGCAATATGTACTTTCCCTTTTTAACTTCCGTGGTAACATGAATAGTGTTACTTTTCCTATGGAATTAAGGAACTATAATCAATTTATATAATTTATAGTTTAAGTATGTGACCTTTTGAATATGCTATTTATCACTTAGGAAGAAAATATCATTCTAAATAAAATGCAATAGCTTAAATATTTATTGATGTTTGATTTCTAACTCCTTAAATAACTGTGTGCATACACACACACCAGGCACACGGAGGGTGGTGGGTGAAGAATGACTCCATAAAGTGTCTTCAAGATGAAGCCCGACTCATCCTGTTACATAGAAAATAGGAATTGACATCCATTAATTCCAAGTTTTTAAATTATAAATACTATTATATAAAATGAATTTATAATTTATCGTGGTCTCTTAAAAAGCCCTGAAGGAGTTTTCTTACGATATGGTGTTTTTCTTTGCTTACATTTCACTGATGCTCATGTTGGAAGAATGGTTGTGTAGCTGTCAGTTCTTTACTACTTAATAAAAAAGCAAAACAAAATTCAGTCAGTTCAGACCTTGGACGTGAGGTTCCGTGGCGTTTATGTGGATGGTTCGCCTCCTGTCAAGCTACCCTTAACCACCATCTTTACTCTGGGGTGGGAATTTTGCCATTTTCTTTTCAGATTCTTGACCTGATCTAGGGGTGATTTCCTCCCCTGAAGAGATAGGATCGATGCCCTTCTTATTCCTGTAACCAACAACCACATAGAGATCTCTCATGCTTTCAATGTCCTCCAGAGAATCCAGCAATATGGTTTCCCGGTCAGTAACCATGATTCAAACTGTTGACTAATACTTTAGGATAATTCTCAATTCAAAAGATAGAAATAACATTTAGAAATAATTTGTGGATTGTCGGGTAAACTTTTCATACCTAAAAAAAAATATCTAACTCCTTAAAAATAGAGCCTTGTAAGCTCAGAGGCTTGGACGTTGTGACAGCGTATCAAATACTCAACCCCAATGTGCAGCTTAACTTTCTCCTAGCTTTAAACAGACACAGCACAGCACACCATACACACACACACACACACACACACACACACACCACCACACCACGCCCAGCTGAACTGCCCAAAGCTACCCCTACTTCCTCCATCTTCCCTCAGTCACTTACTCAGTGTAATCCTGTTGTGAGCCCCTGGAAAACGCTGGTGGAATTCCGAACAACAGCCATCATGCTGAGTGTTTTGTTGTTGCTGTTGTTCATTTTTGTTTATTGTATTATGGATGAGAAATACGCAGAGCGAACACTAACTGGGCTGCGACTGCCCTAACAAACGGCTCTCACCAGTTCTGCCTGTAAGCCGATCAGCAAACAGACTAAGGGGTTTGTCCATGTGCCTGTGGCCCCGGCTTTGAAAGTCTGCGAGTGGACTTCTGGAATTTCTCCAGGCCTAACTATATAGCAAGGCACACTGGGGCAACTAGAACAGAGCTACCGTCACCACGGCAACTGCGCTGCACGCTGTTGCCATAGAGACCCGAGGCGCCCCAGAAAGCCTAGCTCAGTGGCGCCTGGGCCGCCCAGGATGCTTCGCGGAGGCTGTAAAGCCTCCGAAAGACGAAGACACTTGGATGATAGCCTCAGCTGGCAGCAAGAGCAGGCGCTGAGCAGCAGTATCTATCTCCTGCGACAGATCGGCCCTACCGGCTTTCTACTGAGGGAGGAGGAGCCAGAAAAGGGGAATTTCCGAGTAACGACCGTACCCCACCTTCCCTGGGTCTTGGGGGTGGGAAGGAGGGAAGCCCACTTCATAACCCTGCACAGACATGGGCCTCAGCCGAGGACTCACCCCCACAAGAGCTCCCCAGACTTTATGCAAGTTACAAAAGGAAATAGTATCTATCAGAAAAGATTCTTGGTAGTTAGAAACTCGAACTGAGTCCAACTCCTGTAAGATGGACCTTGAACTTTAGTATTAAAAACAAATAAAGGAGAAGGTGATATGAATGTTTGGTTTGTGGGCTGTGTATTCCTGGACGCCTTGTTAGTGGTCACCAGCCCTGTAAGTAAATTAAAACCCACTAAAATCAGGTTCTCTAGAACAGTCTCTAGCTGAGATCGTTTTCTTTTTACTTGTTTTTAAAGCTGTAGCAACTCATTAGAGGATAGTTTAAAAGATACTTTGAAAACTGTGTGAGTGAATAAGAATCCCATTTCATTTTGCTGAAAGAGAAGCTTCCTACTTCCCTGGCCTCTTGTCTGTCAGGATGGTCCACTGAACACTTGCCAGGTGTTTTAGAAATGTAAACTTATTGCCTCGTAGCTGAGTACTGGATTCAGTTCGTCACTCTGTACTTTGTTCAAAGCATGCGCTTTTACTTGGCCGATTACACAATTTATTGTGTTTAACGAACAGCCATAGACTGTATAGTCTTGAATAAAGCTAATCCTCTCTCATGAAAGGAAAGTTCAGGTAACCCCCCCCAAAAAAAAAACTTAAGATGAACACACCGTCTTACAAAAGGCAAACGCCTTTAGCTCTGTCCCTTAAAAAAAAATAGTTTGGGGTGAATGCTTTAATTTTATATTTAATTTCATCTAAGTACAGAAGATCTTTCTTTAAAAATGTGTTAATCCATGGCGCCAGTTGTTTGCAAAGGTAAAGAATACAGAAGTGGAAAAGCCAGCCTAGATTGTGAAGAAAGACCATTTCTCAAAAGGTGCTAGCCAAACACAGACTCAGTTCAGAATCATTAAACTAAACTAGTTCTTTAAATGTTTTTAATTTAATTACTTTTATCAGCTTAGTTTTGCTGTAACTCTAAAAATTAACTTGCTTTTAAAATTTTTCTGTCTTACTCTTCTTTTAAAGGTTTTGCTAGGAAACCCTCATGAATGTAACTGCCCCACGTTCCTGAAGAGGGGGGGGCTGTGCAAGCACATTTGCTGGTGAGTGAGTTAGCAACAGTCTTCCACGAGGAAACACACCTCACCATTGTCCATGGTTTGAATCGGCAAGAATATTGGGAAGATTAACAGCTAAAATAGCGATAATTTACCAATGTGTTTCTTAGTATTCCAATAATACTATTTTAGTCTGAAAAGTGAGTAACTCAATAGAGAAACACTTAATAATATCATGTAGAAAAATATTGATACATATTATGTGCACAAATGTGAAATCATCACATGGAATAATCAAATCCATGGTTACTCTTGAGACATTACTTTCTTCAACAACTTCCTGTCTTCTGAAATACATTATCATGAAAATAATTGTTGTTTTCAGGATGTCAGGTTTCAGACAACTTTCACCTTTAATATAAACATTTTAAGATAAAAATGCGGACTATAATTGAAGCTTACCTCTCAAACCTGAAGCTTCTACAGTGTTAGGGAAACCTGTGTGTTGGGTAATTATCTTTCACACGTGGAAGACAACCTTATCAGTTAGGAGAGCCTGATTAAGTTTGCTTTGCCTTCCTATAGTCACACCAACAAATCAATAATGACACCCTTTTAAAATTTTTTTTTTAGTTTTAAATTTTAGTGTGTGAGTGTGTGGCTGGCCTGGCTGGATGTATGTATATGCACCATGTGTGTGCCTGTTGCCCACAGAGGTCAGAAGAAGGTGTTGGATCCCTTGGAACTGAAGTTAAACATGGTTGTGAACCTTTATGTGGATGGGGAGAATTGAACCCAGGTCTTCTGTGAGAACGAGTGCCCTAATCGCGGAGCCATCTCCACAGTCCCAGTAAATACATTCTTAGCATTTATTACCCGTCAGCAACTGTGTGTCTTGCTTTCTAATGCCTTTCCTTACCATGTTTGGGACTGATCAATTGAACTTCTACTAACATAGGTTATTGGCTGTATCTGAAAGATAGAGATGTTGTACTTTCAAATGTACAAAGTCACCATAGCCCTTTAAATAGGTGTCTCCAATATTATTTTATGACAAGGCAGGGTATGGTCATTCTTTTCTGATTTTAATATACCATAACTCATTTCATATAATATTTCAACCATAAACTAAATGCAAATATTATCCAAGTATATAGTGTATATAACATTAATGTAATTAATGAAGCACATTTGCTGTATTTTTTTAAAAAATGTATGTTTTCCCCCTCTTGAAAGGTCACAGTTTTAGTTAGTGAGAGTTGAAGGTTTTCTACTATGAACTAAAATGGTAGACATACGAAAACCAATCCCACGAAAACCAATCCCTTGGTGCTCTCAAGGAAGTCAGAGAAAGCATTGTGACTACCTGGACTTCGTCACTACCCTTTGAAGGACTGTGTCTTGAGAAATAAGCACCTTCTCCCTCTGACCAAACTCTTTAGCGCAGACGTAATTCCTTTGTCAGTTTGAACATTGACTCACTTTAAAACACAACAGTGACTGACATAAAATTAAGTTTAAGTTTATTCACAACATTTTTGCATTGCAACTCAAATAATCCTTTTTACAGTCTACACGTTAAACAATTTGTCTTGATATTATATAAAAATAAACGTTTTAATTTTTTCTATTCATGAATATTAGGGTCTTGCTGAAAAAATTCAAGCTTCCAAGGAATCATGAATGTAAGTTTCTGGCTTTTTATTTTCTAATCCTTTACTAATTTAAAATTAGCAAAAATAAGAACATTTTATTTAAACAGATTCTAAACTCAAAGGCTTATTTTCCTAAAGAATCTGGTAAGTATCTCTCCCCAAAGTTTTTACACTTCAAGAAGTTGAAACAGTTTCTTCCTAAACAAAAATGAAAGTTTATATATCACATTCAAACTCAGATTCGTAAATAAAAGACAAGGATGAGAACCGCAGAGATGACTCAGTGGGTAGAATCACTCGCAGTGCAAGCCACGGTCCTGAGTGCAGTCCCTGCCCCACACGGTGGAAGGAAAAATACGTCTCCTGAATGTCCTCTGAACTCCGCGTGTACAAACATTCTATAATTAATATTGAGTCTCTGGGTGACTACGTAGAAGTGGCTGTGGGGCGGGGTTGGACAGAGAAACCTCCAATTACATATGGTGCCCAGTGTTTGGCATGGGTCCGCATAAGACCCAAGAAAGCCTGAAAAAGGATTCTAGACACACGAAAAACAGAGACAGACGTGGCTTATTGGTAGTCGCACATTTTTTTCAGGGAGGCTCTGCTTGCTGGCTGCGACCAGATGCACAGCTCCTTTAAGAGAAGGCTTCCTGCCTGGGTACTGTGGCACAGAGGGCTCTTTTGGAGGTTCTGCCATGGAGAACCTATGGCTATGCATGCCATTGGAGTTTATGTGCTGTGTGCTGTGGGTATTTGGGGGCTGCACGGACACACCGCTCCCCAGAGTTGGGGAGGTGAGCATGTCTCTCACTGGCAGCTCCGCCGGGAGACTAGACGCTCAGAGAACTGAGCTGGAGGAGCCCCACTCACTAAGCTGAGCAGTACAGACAACTGACACAGCAGTTTTAAGATCGCTGTCATGTGATCAACAACAACACAGATGCACAGTAAGGACAGATTCAGACAAATAGACCTCTACACAGGCCACAGTGTGTTTAAAAAAAAAATGTGTGTATGCTTGAAAGAGAGAAGAAAAAAGATAAAGACAGTCATAGATTAAAATAATGATTTAAAAAAATATAAAGTGAGGTCCTTAAAAATAGAGTAATAAAAATAATATAATATTATTTATAAAATATAATAAGGCACATAAAGATGAAAAGTATGCAGAGTCTGGATTATGTATATTATTGTGTTTTGTTTGGAGTTTTTGACTGTTAATGAGCTAACTGCTGGGAGACATTTGATTGTGTCTTCCCCTCCCACATGTCAGACATTCTTATGCAGGAATTTAAAATAGCTCCAAATAACTTTTTAAATATACAAAACTTATGCTTCTATTCATTATTATTTGTTTAATAGATTTAGTTTAATGTTTCTGCCTTATTTTTGGTTTAATTCACTTGAAAGAAAGATGAAAGTTTTTTTTCTCAATAATTTCCTGAAGCCGCTGTGTGGTGATGCAGAGACAATTAATTCCAACCAAACACGTCCTCCAACCTGCACCAACACAGCCACACGTGGATGCTGTAATAACAAAAAAAATAGAAGGGGCAGCAAAAGAAACCTGAAAGACTATTACAAGTACAAAGAAAATATGATTCGGAAAGGATTGAAACAGCTCACATGAAAAGACAAAAGAGGTGTAATAGTACAAAGAGGCCATGTGTTTTAGGAAAAAAAAAATAAGTCACGGAGACAACATAAGGAACACATTTGCGAAGTGTAATCTCTGAAATGTTTTGAAAGAATTTTCAGTTTCAGTCCAATAAACAGTCAAAGGTGATTTATATGTAAAGAATATATTAGCAAATGCCTATGGGTGGTAGCTTTGCAAATTTCATTAGAATCGGAAAAGAAGTGAGTTAAAAATAAGGGAGGCGCACACACTAAATAAGA